ATCTCTTTTGTCTGTTTGAGGCTCTTAGCAACAAGTGTCGCATTAGTAGCCACAAACACCGGATTGAGATCCGAGATGGGACTCGCCGTGGCCAAATTTCCCGCTGGAGTACCAACGTTCCTGATTTGCCTTCCAGCAAAATACCGGATCTGCTTCAGGATGGTTGCGAAAGGCTGGCCCCGGGCTGGCCCATAGTGTTCAAGAGCTTCTTTACAAATCTCTTCAAGATCCGTTAGGACAACATTTCCGCCAATCTCAAGATGGTCGTCATTCAACTTGAACTGGCGCAACTCTGGGATATCGCCAACGAATACCGACGCATTGTAGTTCATGCCCTTGAACTTGATTTCGATCTGCGTCTCGGTCGAACCACCAATTAGCTTTGCTGACGGGTAGGCATCCTTGATTTCCAGTAGTTGCTGTAGGGTTGTCGGCCGGAACCACCTTTTCTTCTTGTTTCCAAACGCAAGCGGCTTAAACTCATGTTTCCGTAATTGCGGGGGAAATATCAGCTCTGTGTCGGGCTTGTACTCGATGAATCCAGGTGGTGTGAATCTCTTGATCGGCTGCTCTTCTCCATCTGCTCCATTTTTCTGGCAGCAACCTCCACCATTTCCACCATTCTTCTCCATACAACATCCACCACCGCCGTTGGCTTTTGCCTTTCCGCATCCAGACTGTACACTGAAGCTCTGAGCTGCGTCCAATATTGGCCGGTATCCTGTACACCGGCAGAGGTTACCATCGAAAGCCTCTTCAACCTCAAGCTCGGTGGGTTCAACATTGTTACGAAGCAGAGCATACAACGACATGACGATACCCGGTGTGCAGAAACCACACTGGCTGCCATTGCCCTTTGCTATCCGCTCCTGCGCTGGATGTGGTCGCTTTACATTTCCAATTCCTTCGACGGTTATTACGTGTTTGCCGTCTACGCTAACGAGGGGTGCAAGGCATGCGTTTACGGAGGCATGGTATATTTTCTTCGTGGTTGGGTTAAACTGTGACACAACCTAGCAAACAGTCAGCTCTCTTGGTTACTCCTGGAACCGGCTTCCTGAAATCTTGGAAGATCTCCAGATTGAGTTCTCCTCCCTCTCCGAACCCAACAAACATACCACTGTACATGCACCACACCCACCCTCCGCACATCCCAGTTTTGTCCCCGTCAATCCAATTCCCCTCAGATACTCCAACAGCGTGACTTCGGGGTCCGCACTGTCCAGTACGACTTTTGTTCCATTCAGGTAGAATCGAAGCGTATCATCATAGTCCGCGGTAACCTCGTTAAGCGAATTCGTCGCCTCGTTCGACACTGCAGGCTGTGGTGTAACGATTCCCGGTGCCATGGTTGCCACGCTGCACTGGGTGTGTGGCAAAGGAAGAGGGGAAGGAGGGGGAAGATGGAAGAAGAAACGCCAAAGCGCACAGGCAAACGAAGTGACAGAGAGAAGAAGAAAAAGAAAAGAAAGGAAGAAGAACGGGGCAAGTAAACACAAGCGTATCACAAGGGCAATCGCAGGCTGGCCCAGCTAGTTACAGGAATGCCTAGGGTCTCTGTCCTGGCGATGTGGGGAACGAGCGGAGAGCAAGCTGGACAATATGGCCCTGCAAGAAACAGTCACCTCGGCGGGCTATATCAAAAGCTAAAAGCAGTCAGTTGGGTAATGTAGTCCATAAATCACCCAGCAGACGCACGAATCAGCGCCGGCACAATTGTGTCTTATCTCGGGACGCGCTCCAGCTGCAGAGGGTCCACGCAGGAGCTCGCCGATGGCCGTCGTTCGCGCCTCTGCCCCTCCATCCTTGCCCCACCCCGCGGCTCAGCGACATTGCACGTGAGCAGTGACTAGATTCACCATTTGGCATGTTGTGCCGCTACAAGAGGCGAGATCCGGCCATAATCATATGCATCAAATTACTGACGAGGGCTGGCATGTCACTAGAAACATCACATTGGAAGCATAGGAGGATATGAAGCAAGATTTTTGTGGAAGAGCTAATTGCACACTGCAAGGACTCCATTTTTGATAGTATAATACTAGTACTGTACAGGACAGACAAACAATAAGGACCTATGCAGCTCAGGTATATGCACCACGTGCTCGCACGTGTCGATTGACGGCTCGAAACCAACTCCAAAGTCACATCCAGTGATCTGCAGAGGGCGATCGAATGCAAGTCTACGTACGATGAGGTACGTGCATTAAGACAGTAAACGCTTTTGTTGATAGGAAATCCAGGGGAATCTTGCGGCATGTCCTTTTAATAATGGATAGGCCGGGGGCGAGGGGCGGGCTCATGACAGACGCAATTAGACAGCAGACGTATAGGTAAACGGTGGGCTTTGCAAGATATTCTCGAAAAACCGCAACGACGCACCGTCGATCATCATGTGGAAATGATAAAATGAACGCACAGCTATCGGTGTAACCCAAGGACTGGGGAGCTCGCAACAGTCATCCATACGGCAAGCATAGATCAATCGATGTTCGGCTCACGCAAAGCAGCGACGGTAACGGTGTCCCTTTGTAAGCATAGTCAAAAGCCACACCGTCGTAGACAGCATGCTCGAGGACAGCCAGTGGTTGGAGGCATGAAGTGCAAATGTGTCATCCGCAAGTCATGAAAACATCGGGTATGCGCAGATCAAGAAGTCGAAAAAAAAATAGGTCCAGGAAATCGGGTATAGTAATCATGCCAGGCAGCAAAGATCCAAGCATTGGTCATGCAAACATGCAGGGCTCGGCGAAGTTCAGCAAGATGTGCATCGGTCACAGCGACTAGGTGGCGACTATGCGCCTGGGGGTCCTTGGGCACCTTGGCCGCCTTGTTGTTGCTGAGCAATGGATGCATACCACATCGCCAGGTAGTTCTGGTAGCCGCCATAAACGGCGTACGGGTCAGCAGCAGCGCCACCTGCAGCGGGGGCAGCGGCTTGCGGAGCTTGTGCAGGCGCAGCAGCCTGTCCATATGATGGTGTCTGTTGATGTGAGTAGCCATTATCCTGGTTGCCATTATCACGTCGGCGCGAGTTGTTCTTTTCCCGCTAAATGTAGTTAGCATCGTATAAACATGGCCAAACTCGGAACAAACGTACCACTTGCTCAACCTTCTCCCAGATTGCTCGCTTGGCATCATCGATGGCTTGACGTGTTCCAACAAGGCCAATCTCGCGCTCGATATCAGCGCCAGATGCTTGCGAAACGTTGATCTTGCAGCCAGTCTCGGACTGCATGGATTTGATGGTTTCACCGCCTGGGTTCCTGTTAGTATGATCATTGCATAGCGGATATCAGCACATGTTACCTTTGCCAATAATCATGCCAACAGCATCGGATGGAACATGAATGCTATCATTGATCTTGCCAGCGCCGGCGCTACCAGCACCAGCGCCGTAGGGATCAAAGTTGTCACGTCTGTTGTTGAAAGGTTGCTGCGACGGCGGCTGTTGGTTGCCTGTGCCTTCCATTTGCTTAGTGTCACTATCGACAATTTCCATGATGAGTTCCTTGGCATGGGCAGCAGCAGCAGGACTTCCAATGAGGTTCACAGGACGCAGACCGTTCACACTCTTGTTTTCACCAACGATGTTAACGTGGCAGCCACTGCGTTCTTGCAGATCACGAATAGTCTCACCACCGCGGCCGATGATGAGACCAACGGTTCGATCGGGCACCATAATCTGCGACGACTGTTCGCCTTCTCTAAGAGCCGGTTGTTGCTGACCGACCGTCTTTGCGGTAGGCCTAGCATTGCGGCCAGTCTCACGAGCAGGGTTTCCACCATTCTCTTCGATGATACGGTTGATCTCGCGCTTGGCACTGATACGAGCACCAGGGCTGCCAGTTATACGGCATTCGCGCTGAGGTCCAGATTCGGGGCCGTTGATGAATTGAATACGTGTCTGGGATTCTTGTTCAATGCGGCGGAGACTCTCACCTTGTCGTCCAATGACGAGACCAACCAACGAAGAGTCAATGAGAATCACCTCAGAGTTATCATTGGCAGGGGGCGAACGAGCCTGCCCGTATTGCTGGGCGGGAGAGAAGGTGTCACGTCTAGGGGGCGAGCGATCACGTTCACGACCATAGCCGCCTCGGCGCTCATCACGACGTTCATCGCGGTATGGATTGTAGCTTTCACGCACGGGTTCTCGGCGCGCTGGAGAGCGCGAACGCGACCGAGAACGTCTGTAGGGCTGGCGCCCACTGAGGCGCGGGTCTTCTTGGTAAGCTGGAGGCGTGTAAGTTTGCGCTGGGACACCATAACCAGACCAAGGTTCAGCAATACCTGGGCGCGCTGCTTCATGGGCAAGGCCTTTCTGGGCTGCAAAACCGCGCGCCTTTGCCAGCGCATCCTGGATGCTTACAGACCCAGAGCTCACAGGCTTGATAGCACTAAGGTCAAGACTGCCAGAATGTGTGGGTTGTGGGAAGCTGTAGCCCGGCATGGCTGGCGGGGTGGCAGTAGGCATTGCGCCAGGGAAGCCTGGTGGTAGGGCTTGCGGAGGGGGATGCTGTGCAGGCGGAGCCTGTTGGGGTGTCTGGGATGGTGTGGTCGACGGTCGGCCGGCGGCTGGGTGAAAAGTCAGTATATGCGCGGGCTGCGGCAACTTCAGTTTGCGAGCCAACGTACCAAGAGCCGCCAGAATGGCGTTGAGATCTGGAGGAGCGGCCATGGCAGGCTGCGCGTTACCAGAAGATTAGTAGTAAAGTCAGAGAAGATGCGGGGACAGGAAAAACAAGATGTGGAATGGCGAAGGCAAGAAATACGGCAGCTGAGTTGGTCGCGCCGTGGCTGTCTGTCCAGGTAGCAGGAATCTTTGCGGCAAGGGAGAAGAGGAGTCGGGCGCGGCCTTAGTACGCGCTAGTGCCAAATTAGCCGAACCAAGTTTCTGGCCCTCTGGCGACTGCAAGTGAAGGCACTTTGGGAGAGCCAACCACGTGCCATCTTTTGATCATTCAGTCACTGCATGTTATTATATCTTGCATCTTTACTTGGTAGTACGTTTTCGGTCCATTGATGATTCCTAGTCGACACATGCGCCAGGTCATAGGACGCTACAAACAAACACTTGAGCAATACCGCAAAGAACGCCGTGCGTCTGCAGAAATAGACGTATTATGTCACCAGTCCACTTTGTAGCAACTCCCAAACCCCTGCTCCTTATACTCATGCAAGCTATCCAACTCCCTCCATGCTCGAGCTACAGGCACTGCCTTCCTTTATGTAACGGGGGTGCGGGCGATGCGGACCACCCGTCTGTTGGGAATCCAACATCGCCCACGCAAGATGAACATCATACGGGACCCTGCCAACGCTATGTGACGGACAGGGCAAACGTGTTTATATAGACATTAGAAACGAATCAAGGGGCGATCGACGCGGTGGAATAGATCTGGTGCCCAATAGCTGGCCTCGGATGCAAACGTGGAGCCCAAATTTCAGGGCTCACTTCTTCATCATCTGTGAGATGTTGTTCCACTTTTGTTTGAGCGCCTCGTGTTCTTCGTTAATCTAGACGTTTCGTTAGCTGTGTCTCAAACTCAATCCAGCTGCAGTAGCCCTACCGTAGCCCATTGCATCTTGACATCGACCAGTTCCTTCTCCATCTCGGCCATTGCATCTTCTAGATTACGGTTCTCATTGTGAACAACAATGTTCTTTTGCATCACAGTCTCCATCTCGTGCTTCAGTCGTGCTTCGACTTCTGCAGGCTGTGTATCGACAATCTTCTGGAGCTCTTGCACCTTGGTCTTCAGTGTCTCGTTCTCTTCTTCCAAGTTTTCATTCTCGACCTTGGTTTTGATGAGCTCGGAGGCAACCTGGACGTGCTCCATGTCCGATTGTTCGGCTCGGTGTTCCAACGACCGCACCTTTTGTTCCAAAGAAGCAACCTTTTCTTTGAGCCCTACGAGCTCGGTCTCACGATCCTTTTCTATCCGTCGTTGCTCCTTCCACTCAGCAGTATATTGCTTCAGGGTCTCAGGTGCAATCTTGACAGCTACAGCATCTTTTACAAGCGTATCAGCACGGTAAATCTCCTTGTCGATACCTGCTGTGGAACCAAAGAAGCCGTTCTCAAGAATCGAGTTTGCAGAAGGGGCTTTGTCAATGTACACGTCAAAGAGTCGCTCTTTTAGGAACGTCGTGAGTGTTGCCATATCCTTCATGCCTAGTAGTGTTTCGGCATTCTTCTGCATCAAGACAATGCCAAACTTCAGGATGGCCAACTCGAGACCTTGGCTAAGTATCAGGTCGTAAATGCGTAGGACTAGCTGTAGCGGGAAACGGTATGCGAATAGCGTGAGGAACCATTGCGTAGCATAGAGCTGAGGCTTTACATCCCTACGGCGCAAATGGCAGTAGAGAGCAGGTTCAAAGTCTTCCAAGAGGCGTTCAAACTGGTAGAGATGCAAATGGAGTCCAGGCATGTCATGAACAAATAGGTCCCGGAGGCCATATTTGTTCATCAACGTTACGAACAGACTGAAAGCCTCTTCTTCAGGCATCTTGTAAAGTCAGTAATGTAACAAGGGAAGCATGCATTCAGACTTACGTTAAAAAGTAGAGGCATAGCGATAAAGTTCATGCCCTGAGCGTAGCCAACGGCATCGTCGTACAGAGCGTAAGCCTTGCAAATACCAAAAAGGCCATCCTGTAAACCAGCCGCCATGACATACTTTGAGTAGCTTGTACGTGCACCCAAGTCCCGCTTGATGACCTTTTCCAGTTTCGAAATGGCAGCGGCACTCTGCTTTTTTTCAGCAGCTACTCTTGCCTGTACCTTGATGGGGTCTTCGGAGTTGTCTGCGGTTAGTGGCGGCGAGGCCGGTGGTGCATTTGTGCTCCCAGTCGTAGTGGGTGGGCTCGAGTAGTCTGAGTGAACTGACGAGGAGGAAGAAGCAACTGACTCCTTCCCATTCCCGTTTGTCTGTCCACCAGTAAGGTTGGGTGTGCTAAGGCTCATGTGTTCCTTATCTGTGCCACGGGCTACGAGTTCCCGATACGTGGCCTCGAGCTCTTCGTTCTTGCTTTGCGCCATCACCTGCCAAATAACACCTCGGATGACTTGAGGGATTCCATTTGCAATGGCATGATTAAGTTCCTCTGCGCTGGTGCGGGCAATGGCAGCTGGTCCTTCATTGACCACAGACTGCCAGAGATCCCAATCTACAGGCTCAGCTGCATCTCCCGCTGGGCCAGCAGCAAATCCAGATGCAGTTCCAGGGGCCAGCTTTGGATTGATAGTGGGTTGTCTTGTAAGTGATGGCGGGCTTCCTGGCTCGTCTTCGGGAACGATGGGTGGACTGATAAGACCAACACTAGTCGGCCTGGTCGCCACAGCAGTTGGGTTGCCGTTGAGACTGGTTTCGTCACCCATCATTATGCCGGCTTCCTCCCTCATGCGCAAAAACTTGAAACGGTCTCGAAGATTTCCCTGGCTCGTCCGATTGCTCGAACCAGTCTCGCCCTCACCTTCGGTCCTGCTCAACGAGAGGTCAGGATTGCTACCGATGGTGGCAATGGAAGCCCCTGTGTTTCTTCGTTCCGTCGCTGTTGTGGATGATGGTGGAGAGTCAGATTTCTTACTGGTGCTATTTCTTGACAGCCACGCGAAAGGACCGGTAAGTTTTCTGGATGTAGTCGGTGGCTTTTCTGGCGCGGTTGAAGCGGTTGAAGCGGCTGGCGCAGCTGGTGGAGCGGGGGGTGGAGGAAACTTGACAGGAGACATCCTTCCGGAGAGGCCTTGGATCGAAGCTGTAGAGTCTTGCGAGTCTCGCAGTGGTGCTTTCGGCACGGAGTCTGGAGCTTTTGCACCGTCTGCAGTGGGTCAGCCTCAGAATCGGGAAGCATTTACTGGTACGCGTGGGGAAGCCACAAGTTGGCAGGTGCTGTCGGGAGATATGGATACTCCTGACATTGGAATACAGGTATGCCAATCTTCACGCAGTATTGTTTGTCTCAAACGGAGAGGAAGTACGCACCACCATCCAAAGATACATCGTCCATGTCAGACGTTACCGACACTCTCTTGGGTAGGGGCGGCTTTTTGGCAGGTGCATCGTTGGCGGGCTTTTCCGGTTCTTCGGGTTCGCTGCCTGTGCCGGACTCGTCTGTTTCGTCGCTTTCGTCACTGCCATCACTTTCGTCATCCTCGTCACTTTCATCGCTGTCGTCTTTGCTGTCGTCTTTGCTGCCTTTAGGGGCGGCTGCTGGTGCTGCACGTGCAGTCGAGTCCGTCTTGATTTCTTGTACGGTCGATGAGGGGGTCTCCTTTTGAAGTAATGAGCGCGGATGTGATTGTGGTTTTTCAGCGGGCGAGTCTGGGCGAGGTGAAGTTTCCGATGCGTCCTCGAAACTGTCCTGTAACCGCACGACCGTTAGCAAACTTGCACACTGAAGCCTTGGCTATGTCTAGCAAAGACATGATGGGAAAAATACGAAGTACGTACCGCGTCCTTGTCGGAACTGTGTGAGCTTGTCGGCCTGTTGTCGGCCATGTTTAGTATGTTTGTGAGGGCCGGCGGTGTGGGTTATTGGGTGGTGCCGAACAGCAACTTGAAGGGCAAGCGCAGTCGATGCAGGATAACTCTTTAGTTTTGAGTTCGGGGAGGGGTATAGAATAGGGATTAAGGGCTAGTTATTTTTGGTGGTTTTCAACGAAGGAGTCGAGGGGTTCGGGGGGTGGTGTGAATGATTATTGTGAAGATGGGGGGTACGTGGGTAGTGAACGGACAATAGTGGAGCAACCCCGGCGGCGGCGAGGGCGGCCTAGAAAGCCAGGGCTTTGCGAAAGCCACGAAAAGGAGCAACCACTGAAAGTTGTTTTTCGGCGACTCGGCGTCGCATCAAGACTGTTTGTCTTGAGTCTGTGTGGTTGTACTTTAGGATTTTGCTGACAGTTGCGGCTTTCGTCTGCATATGCAATGCGCCCCTCAAGCCAGCTGTTCAGACGGCAGCCAGGGTGGTACAACTGCGGTTAACCTGAAACAAAGCCATCGGCTGGCCTCCCGCTCTGTCTGCGAATCGAGGCTGACGAGGCGTTGACGCACGCCACAGGTACACGACGCGCGACCGCTATAACGCTACTATCATACATGCGTATCTAACAGCCGTTAGGACTTTGGACATGGCTTTGCTTTTACACATACGAGCACACACACACACATAGACGTACACGCATTGACGACTAGCTTGCAGCAAGCATACAACGCCTCGCTCTTTCCTGTTGAGCAAGCAGCCACGCGGTGCGCTTTCCTTTTGTGCTTCAGGGGACCTCCTCCGCATCACAGGATACCGGGACGTTGCTTTTTCTTCTTCTCAACCTTATGCCACGACCGCCTCCTCATTTCCCATCCTCCTGCTTCACGCTCTAGTCAACCTGGCTATTTTTATTGCACAATGGCGCTGCATCAATTCGTCACTCAGAGCGCACATGAATTCAATAATGTCAAAAGTAAAATTGTAGATCAACATCTACGTAAGTGTATATGTACAAGAACACCAACAATTCTTTTTTCACAATCACCACCACCACCACATCTCAGCTTCTCCTGCACATTGTGCCGTCTCAGTTCCTCTAGTTGATGCACTGCGAGTAAAAGTCGTTCTGCTTGACGCACTTGGCAGTGCCCTCGCATTCAGTGGGACCGTTGTAGTTGATACCGCCGCACTGGTAGTAGAGCTTAGCAGTTCCCACAGAGCCAGTGGGGACGGCACCAGCGGGAGGTGTAACGCCAGCAGGTGGGCTGGGGAGCGTGGCAAATGTGGTGGGGACAGCCGGAGCCGATGGAAGAGTATCATTGCCAGAAGGAACGGTGGGCGCAAGAGTAGGGACATCAGCTTCGTCGGAAATCGAAGAGGGAGCAGGCTCAGTTGAGTTGGAGGCGGGAGGAGCAACGGGAGCAGCACCGCCAGCGCCACCGCAAGTAGCAACCGGACCACCGGGAGCCTTGTAGTTGGTGGCAACGTATCCGTTGTAGTAGTTGGGAATGTAGATGTCGGCATCGTCAGCCTTGTAGGCGCCAGGAAGCGAAATGGTAGGTGTGCATGAGCCCTTGCTGCCGGTGCCCTTGATCTTCAGTTGCATGCAGCCGATATAGAATCTTTGTCACGTTAGCTTATACATGATAAGTGAAGAGAAGATCAGCTTACTGCGCGCCCCCCTTTGTCTGAGAAGAGTGGAGTGCCAGCATCTCTGAACGGAGCAGGTACTCGCCGGTGGCAAGGCCAGTGGGAAGAGGGAATTCATGCGTCATGTTGGCTGCTTGCATGATCTCAGAAGCCCACTTTCCATCGACAAAGTCCATCTCGTCAATCTTGAACCATCCAGCACCGATACCAGTGGCTTGCGAAGCATCATCGACGGGACCATAAAGCATGTGCGTGATCGGTCCTGGGTGTCCAGAGTTATCCCACTGGACCTTGATCTTGTCACCCTCGTTGGCCTCGATTGTCTTGACGCCAGATGGGACCTTGGAGCCGCCGACGTTGCAGGCCATGTCGTTGCTCGTCAAATCAACTACGGGGCTGTTGGAGGGTGGCATCCGGATGCCGACCTGGTATCCGGGCGTGACATCGTTAACCCAAAGCTGGTGGAGGTTCTGGTGGGCCGAGACGGCGGAGAGAAGAGCGCTCGTGAAGATGGCCTTGGTGAACATGGTGACGTGCGTTGGATAAGTGTTATGTACAGTGTTTGGATTTCAAATGTGTGATGGTGATGCCTGATCACAAAGATGGAATGTAAGGTAAAGAATGAATGTGGTAGAAAAGAACTTAGTGAATGCGTTCAAAGAAAGGACTGGCCCGTTGGAATGATGGAAAACATCGTTGAGGGACGACTGTCCAGCGCTTTATGTATGTCCAAACGCTGATCCTTTGCTTCAATTAGGCGCCTGCACAGGAGAGTATATCTCCGAAGACTACGGCGAGCCGCCATGAATCCTTCGCGGCAACAGTTCGCGCTATCCCGGCCACTGGGTGCGGGAACGACATTGCTTTGACAGGAACCAAGTCGCGACACGCCAGCGGCTTGTCTAGAAGAAGCAGTGAATTTACTCCATGTGGTAAAGTTGTATTGCGCCATTATGCAACATGTACTATCCGAGATTGAATGTTCATGATAGTGGAGAAGCGAGTGTTTCCAAGTCTGCCGGAACAGGCTAGCCGACTTGTTTCGTGCTTGTTTCAAAACGAAAGCTCCTGTAGTAGCGACTCGCCATCAATATGCAGAATCTGGCTCGACAGCCGTTCCACTTCCAATTTATTCTAGAAACTGGGATTGAACGGAAGAAATAGACAGCGATTTCCCGCCAAGGGAGTCGGAAATGAGAGAAAAAGGCATGGTAATGGGGAATGAAGATAACAAAATAGAAAGACAAAAGTGCATGACTCCAACGTCAACGTCGCCCATTACTCTCTTCAGTGGAATACCATATTTACTTCTTGCATCCTTTGATGAGGCCGCAGTCCATGACACGTCGTGCGGGCGCCTACAGTGGGGCAGTTTCGAACAAAAACGTCTTGCTCAAGGCATCCCTCTCGTGATTGTGACAAAGCCTGTAGGCGCCGACGCAACAGTTCTCCTCACATCTGACGATATCCTGCCAAGCTCATTACCTGCATCAGGTAATCCATCCTTCCCACTACTAGGCAAAGGGTTTGTTGGACTTGGCGTCTGCACAATAGACGTTGTGGGGCTTGTTGGGGCGGCAAAGAGTCTTGTGAATATTGACACACTCCCCTGCACTAGTTCTCCATAAATACGTATGTAGTATAAACGGTGATCTCCTGTGCGGCAAAGCTCGGTGGGACTGGTCGGACAATGGATAGGAACCGTGCGCCAAATAGCATGGATGTGTACCACATGGCAGTGAGGAAGAAGATTGCAAACAATACCCAAGGAATCAAAACGCGTTTTGTGGGTATGCGGCTGCGTCGTGGAGGAATTGCCGCTGGAAATGCCGGTGGGGTTGAGTAGTATGCAAATTGCGGATGATTGGGATCCGAGTACTACTACTACTACTACTACTACTACTACTACTACTACTACTACTACTACTACTACTACTANTACTACTACTACTACTACTACTACTACTACTACTACTACTACTACTACTACTACTACTACTATCCCTCCCTGTGTGGCAGCATGCCGGTGATGCTCCCACCACAACAGACGAAGCCCCAGTCCAGAGGCATTGCGAGTCTCGGGATAGATTCCTTGGCCTTAGAGATTTCTTTGTAGTAGTACTCTATCTCGTCGCCTACAAGTTCCTGCTTGGCTAACGATACTACGACTCGCTGCCAGTTTACACGGCAGCCGCGCCAAAGGCAGCCTCGGACGCGCCAAAGGCTTAACGTATGTTTCCAAAAGTCTGTCAAACTATACAAATACACATGGGGAGTGTATCCCAAGCGAGATACTCTGGTATCCTAGATCATAGTAGTACTGTTGCGCAAATCTGTTGCTCTACAGAGCAGGATTGACAACCAAGGCGCGCTACCTGTAAGTCGTACAAAAACACTATAAGAGACTTAGTGGTATTCTATCAGTACAGATGCTAGACCCTTGTCCCGTGAGCGTAGCTTAGACAGAGTCACCTGGCTAGCGGCTAAAGCTAAGCATAACTCGCTCATTATCTAGTATGGTCCAACGTGATCAAATGCACGCTTAGACACCGCACTGGAATCCACGCACGCCTGTTTTAAGAGCGAATGATGGGTAGTAGAGGTAGAAGCTTACATGTAGTCCTGTAGTAGTGTTGAAACTAGCTTCGAGTAATTGATACATATGGTTGCAGAATCTGTTATCTCTACCTCACAGACTTTGGGCTTCTAATGCCTATCTTTGCTAGCCCTCGTACCAGCTTTGACTGTTTGCCTGCGTATGCACGTGCGCTGCTATCTGTAGTTGTAGGAGGGATAGCAAGCTGGTGCTGCTTGTGAGATGCAAGCGCATAAGCGTAATGCTGGTGACACGCATGCGTGGTTGAGTGAGCCTTCCCAAGTATAGTTTCGTACCCAGTGCATGCTCTCTTGTATAGGGCCAAGGCTTCGTTGTAGTAATGTTGATGTGTAAGAAGATTAGCAAGGCAGTATACGCTCGTCAGCGTGGATAGGTGCTCATGCCCAAGCACCTTTTCTCTCCGTGCCAGCGTCTGTCGATTTATCGCCTCTGCCTCTGCATACCTACCCTGCCTATCCAGTAATAGTACTAATTTATGCATACTCATTAGCGTATCTGGATGCTCATACCCAAGCACTTTCTCCATTAGCACTAGCCTTTTTCGGTTTATCGTCTCTGCCTCCTCGTACTTGCTCTGGCTATCTAGTACTCCTACTAGGTTGCCCATACTCGTTATCGTGTGTGGATGCTCATGCCCGAGCACCTTCTCTCTCAACGCCAGCGTCTGTCGGTTTATTGTCTCTGCCTCCTCGTACTTGCCCTGCCTATCCAATACGTGTGCCAAGTTGTGCATACTCAGTAGCGTGTGTGGATGCTCATGCCCAAGTACCTTCTCCCTCCGCACCAGCGTCTGTCGATTCATCGCCTCTGCCTCCTTGTACTTGCCCTGGCTGTCCAGCACGTGTGCCAAGTTGTGCATACTTAGTAGCGTGTCTGGATGCTCATGCCCAAGCACCTTCTCCCTCCGCACCAGCGTATGTCGATTCATCGCCTCTGCCTCCTCGTACTTGCCCTGGCTTTCCAGCGCGTGTGCCAAGTTGTTCATGCTCATTAGCGTGTCTGGATGCTTCACCTTCTCCATTAATGCCAGCGTCTGTCGATTCATCACCTCTGCCTCTTTATACTTGCCCTGGCTAGTTAGCACTAGCGCCAAGTTGTTCATGCTCGACAGCGTGTGTAGATGTCCATACCCGAACACCTTCTCCATCTGCGCCAGCGTCTGCCTATGCATCGCCTCTGCCTCTTTGTACTTACCTCCAAGCTCTCTAGCTAGTCCCACCATCCCCATGCTCTCTATCATTCTCACATCTCCTTCCCCAAGCTCTTCACTCCTAACCTCCATCGACATCGTCGCCATCTCCTCTGCCTCGCCAGCTCTCCCCCGTCGCCACGCGTACCATGCCGCCCTATATAGCAACAACGCCCACTCCTTTCGTGACTCTTTACTCTTAGGCTGCTGTGCTAGTGCTGCTCGTGCGTGTGGAAATAGCGCTTGGCACTTCTCCCAGTTTTCGTGCTCTCCTGTCGGCAGCTCTGCACATAGGTTAGAGATAAACCGCTCTCTCCACTTATCTAGCTGCCCTTCGTTTTCAAGCCACGTGCGCGTCGCTAGCTGCACTAGGCTATGCATCTCAAATGTGTCTACATCTCTAGTCACCGTAATAAGTGAGTAGTCTCGCAGGACTAGCACGTCCTCTTCAAATCCATCGTCTGCTATGCTGCTCTGTTGGTGGAGTAGAGCTTCCTGAATCCCCTGTCGGTCAAAGAAGCTCATCAGCGACAGCAGGCCTGCTGCTGACTGTCTTGTGCTCCGTATGTGGTCGAATGAGATCTGCCACGTTACTAAGATAGAGTTGCTAGCTGCTATATCTCGGCGAAGGTGACCCGCCTCCTGGTTTAGCAGCCTCGTCTTTCTGTGATCGCTCTGACGGTACTCCTCGAGGTACTGCCGCACAGAGCACCGTGGTGCTCGCTCTCGAATGTATGCTGCCGCCTGCACGAGAGCAAGCGGCATATAACTAAGCGTCGTAGCTAGCGTAGCGATGTTGTCGTCTTTGTCGTCTATGTCCCTTAGCTTCTTACGGAGCAGAGCGTGTGCAGCTGCATCGTGCATTGGCTCGATTAGTATAATGTCACTATCCTCTACAATCTGCATCGCTGCGCTCTTTGTCCGACTCGTCACAAGGACGGCGCCGTGCCTGCTAAAAGGCAGATACCTTGATAGATGCTGCTGGAGACCACTGCTTCCCTCTGTCGGAGAGACTATAGCAGCATCATCTGTATTATCGAGCACTAATAGCCACCGTCCGTTCTTCGCATTGCGCAGCCAGTCGCGCACTAGCTCAAACACGTCTGCCTGCGGGTCCTTGCGGCCGCGAGCCCTGACCTGGTTGGCGATCTCCCGGAAGCTCTGCTCGAGTCGCGCGGTGTTGCTCGCATGCGCCCAGAACACCCACGTGTCCAGCGACTGTTCGGCAGTGCGGTAGCAGTGCTCGATGGCTAGCTGCGACTTCCTGTGTCGTATGTTAGGTGCGAGCACCGACCTAATATTCCCTCCTTGGGCTTACCCCACGCCGCCGAGGCCCACCAGCGCTACCCGCGATGCTGGCGCTGCGCATCGTTTGCTAATCTGATCAAGCAGCGTTCCGTGGTCGACGAAGTCTGGGTCGCGTGGAAACGGGACGTTAATTGACGGTTCAGGCGGTGTCTCGGGTCGTTCTAGCGTCGCGCTGTCGTCAGCGGCTGATAAACAAGCGCACGTATTTCAACGACATCTAAGGCCGAGTTTACCTGGTGGTAGATAAGTGTAATTATATACTAACACCAGCATGGTCAGTACAGATTCATCCAAGTAGACTGAGGCACGCTGTGAACGGATGCTAGTGAAAAAGAAATTGCCTCGATTGAGAAATCGGTGTGACCACACGAGTGCGATAATTACGTACTAGAAGGGCCCTCATTGTACACTCCAGGATTGTTGATCTGTCGATTGTTGCTTCCACCAACTATATAATTCGTAGAGCTGCCGCCTTCATTGGCAATGATGTTGCCCGCTCCAGTATGTGTATACTTGCCGTCCTCATTCGCTAGTGATTCCGTAACTTGCTCCAGTGCGTCCAGCTTGTCGCCAATAACATAGATCTCCTTCTGTTCCAACAGTCTCAAGTTGTCTTGGATGGTCACCAGAAGCCTCTGTGCCTGGCTATCTCGGCCGAAGAAGACAGTCTTTGTGCCTCTCCAGATGCGCTTGGTACGATTCTCCCCGTCTTTTGGGCACGCTTTCCTGAATATGTCTCTTAGTTCAGCTAAAGCCACCTCGCACTGTTTCAAAATCGGCTGTGCGCTCTTGCTAGCATCCTCTGTGATGCTCCCTTCCTCGCAGCTCTCCTGCGCACTTTCCAACAGTTCTTGGATTGCTGGCAACTTTTCGAGCAGGTCTCGAAGCTTTGGCGGTAATCCTTGAGCATCGTGAACGGCACGCCCAATGTCGATGATCGTATTAGCGATGCCGATGCAGGCGTCGATCAGCTGGATGGCGGTGATGGCTTCGACACCGGACATTTCGAATCATCGGTCCGTACACAAGCTGGGTGTGTTGGGCAGGTATGGGCGCGTATCACGGGGGCAGGAAGGTGTTCTAGCCAGGCATGCAGGCGAGCAAGCCACTTATAAAGCAGACCGACAAGGTCCTCGCGGGGCTAGGACTAACATAGTCGCTTGCGCACGCATTGGAGGAGCTGCATGTTCATATCTCGGGCTAGGCTGAGAGCTGATGGAGGTGGAGTCGCGGCTGATAGAGCGGATAGGGCCTCGCGTTCCCGGGGTTCCACCTTTCAGGCAGGCAAAGGTTACTGGGCACCTCTATACGAATTATTTCACCCCTATAAGTAGGCCCCCCCTGCTTAGCGTTCACTCCTACGAAATTTATATTATTTTATATTAGTAAGAGAAAAAAAGAGAGCTGATTGCGGCTTCCTTTACCTCCATGGCGTGGGGGTATTGCTAGACACGAGGGCAACTTAGATAGAATAGAATAATCTTTGAAACACCTTGGATTGCATGTCTGTCTACTATACTCTAGGTCTCTATTCCGAGATCCTGCAGGCTTCTCAGCTGTGGTTGGGATTGTTGTGGTAGGGAGTGTGACCGACATACCGTCACGCATGGTTTTTTGCCACACATGGAGGGATAGTAATCGGGTTTGATTTGAGATCCTCCTTTGTCTTTTGGCCGCCGTTTTCCCCATAGTTGAAATTCTGAAGCTGGTGGTTCATGTTTGGCAGATTGATGATATGGCATGCCGTTATTAGGCACTACAGTAAAACTCATGTACCGAGGCATATCCGAAATATCTTGCGAGTCAAAAGTCGAGCTATATGATGGGACAGGTGATGGCCATAATAATAGTACTTAATTATTGGTGCGAGCAGGCAAAATAGATGAGCTAAAAGATGACAGAGAAAAAAAGAAGTGAAAAATACGCTCGAAGAAATAACCGGCTTCCCGAGTCAATGATTAAGAACATGGCACTGTAAGTCGGAAATCGCCCACCTTTGTAAGCATGATTGGATCAGAACACACCAGGCTTACGGCTGAACACAACATCGTGACGTGACAAAATCAGAGTTGGTTGGTTGCGATTGCTTAATGGTGTTTTGAGTTTTGTCCATGTCTGCACGAGACTCGGCCTTTGTGGCGGAGTGGTGGTGAAGAGATGTGGGAGCTGACAATTTAGAAAGTCTAACTTCGGTCGTAAACGATTGGCCCACCGCCGTCGACCACTGCTGCAGAGTGTAGGGTTCCGCCCCATTGCCTTTTAGACCACAATGTTGCGCTCGTATGGTAACTGGATCAACAAATTAGTTAATCACTCATTCTTCACAATTCAGCAGACGTGCAGAGGACAACCGATACATCATACACGTTGTCGAAAATTACATTTGCGGGTATCATAGCATAACTCCTCAACGCCTAGGAAACGTACACAAGATACTGTTGTAATTTGCAGGCCTGTTTAGGCTTTCGCTTTGCCCTTTCCCGTGCCAGCAGGCCTTCCTCGCTTTTTTCCGGCAGCAGCTGGTTGTGCGCGAGCAACTGGTTGTCCATCTGCCCGTCTCCCTTCAGCAGCTCTGATATCTTCTAGCTCCTTCTCCAGCATCGCTTGAAGCTGCTCATTGCGTCTACCGAGGAGGAGGACATCATCTGGGTTGATTGTCTTGCGTCCCGCATGCTTCGAGAACACTTCGAGATCCCGGGCTGTGTTTGCTGGGAGTACATTAGCAACTCTTTGGTATACGATTTGGAGGAACCGATGATCAGAGCATACCTATCTGAGTATATACAAGTTCAGTCAAGGCACCGATGAATTGCGGAGTGGCATTCAGATCGCTTTCCAAAGACTTGTCGTCAACGAATTGGCCGATTGCATACCAGAGAGCGGACTTGAGCCGCTACAATCTTGTTAATATATGAATTACATATAGATGTATCGGACTATATCTGACCTCCTCGCGTTCTGCTGCAGCATCGTTAGACGCCATCTGCTGCAAATGTGGGTGTGAAGCCGTCGCGATACTCTGGCAATGCGACGGGCAGACGCGACGCGTCCATAGTTTCTGGTGGGGCCTGAGTGGCAGAAACCATGTCACCGCCCATGGTTGCCATCCGGTCCACGTTTTGAGTGATTTATCGCGCGCAACTTGTCCATTGATCAAAATTTCTCTCTACTTGAAATCCTCACATCTTTCGACCATCTTCGCGACGCATCTACTTACCTGCGCCTGCATCAGCCCACAGTACAGGGGCCAATAACAAACCCTCTTTCGCAAAATATCCTCCAGCGCACACGTCGCTCCTATATACATCCCCCAGTATATCAGCCATGGACTACATACTAGACAATGTCGGCGAATGGAAGAACAGGCTTGTAAACAACTCAATCAAGTCGTTTGAGGAGATGACCGCTCAGCGCTGGGTTCGCATCATCGCCATCGTAGGAGGATACCTCCTTATTCGACCATATCTACTCAACGCAGCCGCCAAGAAGCAGAAAGAACAACTGGATAGAGAGGCAGAGGAACTGGGCTTGGGAAAGAGTGATGCGCCGGATGCGAACGACTTCCGCGGCAAAGGCGTCAAGGTGGCAAAGGGCGAGGTGAAGAAGAAGGAGTAGAATTTGAATGCACGGTGACAGAACGTATATCATGACAGAGGATGGTAATAATGGGAGGGTCTGGGAAGAAAACTTGCATGGCTGTACCATGCAACATATGGCGTTCTATGTCTTACGCTTGGAGAATACACAATATCTTTGAAACGGGTCTGAAAGCCGGATTGGACTGGAAAGTACGATGCTTCACGGAGACATTTTATTCCTCGCCATGTCGCACCTACATGCTCTTACGACATATATGATCCTACACTGGGAAATGGGATACAACAACGGAGTGATAGTCCGAGATTCTTTCGCAGTCTTACCCGATTGCCCTCGCCCTATCGCTTCCAGCAAGTTATTTATTTCTAATTCATCGACCGTTTCCCTATAACAATTGCTCACCTACCACCAGTGTTCTTGGCAGTAACATACATCCAACTCTAAGGCAATTCAATTGGGATAAATATGGTCAGCCGATGGAGTTGTTGTCGCGACGTTGGTTTGAATGAACCGTTGGTGACCTCGGAGTTGCGTTTGTGACCTAGTACGTTTTTATATCGCCAGCGTGTAGCACGTATAACAAAATCCTGTTGGCTACCAACGCTTTCCTCGTAACTTCATTCACAAACTATCCTTCACGTCTCCCAAACGTACTGTAGCATTGACATTCAAATCCCCTAATATGTCTCGTTGGAACTACACCAAAGATCTCCAATGCCCGAAAACGACTAATTTCGCAAGGCCGTGCGAAGCGTGGTCGAAGACATCATTGCTGACCGTCACGACAAAAGTACATCCCAACTCATTGTTGAAGCTGTGGTTGAGGGCGTGAAGCTATATCGCAGCTATGGGAAGGAGGAAGAGAAGGAAAGGCGAAAAGAAGGAGCATAGGGGACGCAAAAGGAGAAACAGTATGGGTAACAGCCTGAGAGATCGAGATTACCAACGTCACAACCATGCAACCTATGAGCGGACTGACGGGTCAAGAGAGAGGCATCAGCGTCAACATCGCAACCGGTCGCGCGACAGAGACCATGAACAGCATCGTGGCAACTCATACGATAGATATCAGTATGGTTCTAACGAGGAGCATCGCAAAGACAGAAAGAGAGATCGCCTAGCAAGTGGCGCAGCTGGGTATCAAACCCCATGGCAGGAACTGAAAAAGGGGAATGCCCTGGCATCCCATCATTCCCAGCATCTTAACGAAACGGACCACTCGAGATCTCACCATCAGTCTCGGGCCGAACAAAGACATACAGGCGCTCGAGAAAGAAGGGTCGGTGCATCTGACCCTCTACCGCGTCAGCAGAGAGGTCCCGATGGTACACCATTCGGCAGCCTGCCCAAGTACAAATCCAAGCCAGGCATAGCCTTCGGACTCGGCGATCACTTCATAAATACATACAAACATATCAAGGCCGATTACGATGCTGGATATAGATCCAGAGGCTTCATCGAGAAAACACTGTGTGAAGCGAGGAAGAAGAGACTAGAGGCAAAGACAAGGGAAGAAACGATGAATCATGATTGGAATAGAGAAGAAACCTCGAGAAACAACAAAGTTCGGAAGCAGCCCGAGATTGATAAACGGGATAAGCGGCGGATTAAGGTCTATGAGTGGAAGCCTAGAGCTATTGAGGCTGAAGCGCTGGGGCGCCATCACCAAAGTCAAAAGGATCGTGGTCGGATGGGTCAAGATGGTGAGCAAAGATGGAGAGTTGTTGGTCAGAAGAGTCGGGGCGCGTCAGTTCCTGTAATACGTATCCGACCTGCATCACCTGTTGGAAGTCCTGAACGAACTATTCCTCCTGGTTATAGAACAAGGACAGTGCCAAAACCCTCAGGACGTCAAAAGTCTCAGGTTAGGAGCAAGAGGGACATGTCTCAATCTGGAGCAACATCGTGCGATTATCAACGCAGCCAAGAAGCCCCAATTCCGAGAGATCACGATTATGAAGACAATCACCATGGATATAGACCGACATACCCTCAGTCAATTACTTTTGATGACCCTCAACGTCATGGTATAGCTTCCTCTTACGTGGACAACCAATCATCAGTCAAGTCGGAAATCGCCTCCAGAGCCGAGCCTCCCATCATGTCACACGCGCCTTCGCCTCCTCCCCCACCACCGGTTTTAAGAGCAGCTAGCAATGGAAGAGCAGCTCTACTCGACTCGATACAAGGCAGAATCGAGCAACTCAGAATAGCTAACCCAAACAAAAAGGACAAGTCTGCAGGCTCCACTGTAGGAGGGGTTTTGTATGAGCAAACAGAGCACAGCCAGGAGGTCGAAGAGCGAGAACGTGCTCAAGCAAAAGGATCAACTGACGGACAAGACCCTCATCCAGAACCGAACAGAGCGTTTCGTCAAGACCTCTTAGATGCACTACAGAGACGGAATACTACATGACCAGGTACTAATACCCATAACTTGCCAGCAATGAGAGAATGTTCTGATTAATAACAAACTGACAACAGACTCTGGTGCATCGGTAATTACAGGCGTATCCCACAAGCAACAGGAAGAAGGTATATCCCTGCATAGATAGCTGAGATGTGTGGGCTCACTGTCGTCGCAGAGGATGCGGTGCAACTTTCCAAACCAGAAAGTGGAGAGCAGCTGTTTTTTACACTGGGGGCACATATTGCGCAGGCTGGCTGGAGCTTTGACGGAGTGGGAACAGCAGATTGATGGGCCGGAAAGAGATGCAGCAGGATTGGGGTGGGGCGGGTATGTCGGTGGTGAGGGTGAAAGGGGGCATATGTAAACAGGTGGACTATGCGCAGGCGGGTCCATGCTCCATGATTTCGCGGCTAAGCTCTGGACCGCGCGAAGTGACGCCGGGCCTTGTATCCGCCCTTCATCCCTATTTCTCTGGTTGTAAACTTTCAGTACAGGTGGTCGCATCTCTAGACTTTTGCCCTTTTTTTCTGCCGCTCTTTAGCTTTTGGTGTCCACATCGCTCTGTGACGCGCAATCGCATCTCCCCCACATTGATCATTGACCGTTGCCGGACCCTGTGCCATCAGACCAACCGCAAGCCAGCCCGCGCCCGCGCCCCCCCAAACGGCTTACCCAGTCTAACCACCACACATTCGCTCTATCTCTCTTTCCCTCTACCTGTCCTCCCCGCACACACACAAGGCACAATGCGCGTCTCATCAGGCATCCTCCTCGCCCTCCCGGCGCTTGCTATCGCCGAGGAGCAGCAAATCCCCATCCTCGACAAGGTCAAGGGCTTCTTCAACAAGGCGTCTGCTGCCGTGTCCTCTACCATCTCGGCCTCAATGCCATCGGCGCCAGTCGAGGCAGCAGCCAGCGAGGCAGCGGCCAAGGTAGTCGAGGTGGTCCAACACCCGTTGACTCTGGAGAACTGGAAAGAGGTCTTGACAGTCGACCCGACCGCCAGCCCGCCCACCACCCAGGACTGGCTTGTCTTCACCACAGGCGGCAACAACACATGCTTCGGCCTTTGCGGCAACGCCACCAAGGCCTGGAATGTGCGTACACCACAACATGCTGCTTCTAGAAATGCGACACTAATACAACCCTCTAGGCCTCTACCCCCTTGATCGCAGCCATGCCCAACGCGCCCAAGCTCGCGTACCTGGACTGCGAAACCGAGGGTATTCTGTGCAACTCGTGGTCCATTCACGCGCCGTCGCTGTACCTCTTCCAGATCCCTAAGCCGCTCCCCGACCAGTCGGCGCCTGTCCCTGTCGCTCGCTACCAGGCATTGAACCGCACTACCACTACTGCGGAGACGATCAAGAAGCTCATTGTCGACAATGAGATTGCTGAGATTGAGCCTTACTGGGGCCACTTCCACCCCTTCAATGGCACCATGCAGCAGTACAACCTCGCTGTCCCGTACGGCTACTTCACCTATGGTTTCTCCAAGATGCCTTCGTGGCTGCCCATGATCATCATCTCGTTTGTCAGCAGGTCTTTCATGTAAGTCATTGCCTGGTACAGTTGCAGGGTGCATAACGCTAACACTCTTGTAGGGGCAACCGCATGGCCGCCGGACCCACCCCCGCCCAACGAGCACCACGGTAAACAGATAACCTCCCATATACCTATTGGCTTTTATCCTCAGCAGAGGGTGAGCTTGAGCCTTGTTTGCGATCCCACAACACTCCTTGGGGTCGATACGATATCCAGATAACTATCTTGTAATTGGATCTCTTCCTAGAACGAATTACGCGTGTCTTTGAAAGGACATGTTGAGAATGCTGGTGTTATAAAAAGAGGTGTACAGGAGAGACTGCAGCAGTATTGAAGCGAGAAGATGCAGTAATCAAAGCAAAATTTCATGTGCGATTCATTACCCTGTCACAAAACGTGTTCCGAGACGTGTGCTGGTCTGCGACTATATTTCGCCCATGGCAGTTGATTGATTTTGAAAAGTAGAAGAGCAACACTACCAATCTTTCTTCAGCCATCATACTACATATCTTCAAGACATCTTGGATGAAAGCAAAAAGGTAAAATGCCATGCAATTCGTGACGCGATGCTCGAGATAAAAGAAGCGCAACACGATGTACCATCGCAGTTATGAACAAGGGGAATCAACAAGCCTATTTACAACACGCTCACATGCATCAGATATAACCCAGAAGAAAAGCGAAAGAAAAAAACAGATCCGTCCTCCCCCTTTTCAATCCCAAGCTCTCAAGTCCGCTGCACACTGCTCACAATCGTAGGCCCATCATCCTTCTTCCTCACCCACTTCTCCTCATCGGCCTTTCGCTTGGAGTTCCGATCATTGCCTTGACCACGACCTCCTCTTCCGCGCCATGGTACGCCACCACCACTACCATTTCCGCCGTTACCACCGCCACCGCCGCCACCGCCAGCCCCTCCACGTTTCGGCCTTCCATCCTGTCCGCCACCGCCACGACCACGGCCAACCTGGAATTGTATGCGAGTAAGCGGGTGCTCGACCCAATCGACACCCTTGAGACCCAAATTGTTCTTTTCCCAATCACTCAACTTCCACGCCTGATACAGCCCCATTAGGCGCTGCTGATCGATCTCCTCCTTGCCCGGTCCAAGCGAGCGCGTGAGCTTGAGGCCGCGCAGTTCAGGGACCCAGGCTTTGATGTATTCGCCGTGCTTGTCGTAGTCAAGGGCTTGCTTGACGGGATTGAAGATGCGGCCCTGGCGGGGATCGTTGCCCACGCCTGCTACGTATTGCCAATTTCCCCAGTTGCTGGCTGCGTCGTAGTCGACGAGGAAGCATTCGTACCATTCTGCGCCTACGCGCCAGTCGATGCTCAGGTGGGATGAGAGGAACGAGGCGACGTTTTGGCGGGCGCGATTCGATGTGTAGCCTGTGACAAAGAGCTCGCGGTTCGAGGCATCGATGAGGCCGACGCCTGTTCGTCCGGAGCGGAATCGCTCAAACACTTCGGCCGTTTTTGCTGGATCGTCGCCTGGACCCTTTGACCATTTCAGGTTTTTCCATTTGTTGTCGCATTCTTTTTGGTCGACCGTCTGAATACCATAGAGGCTGAACATTTTGTACCCAAACTTTCGCATACAGAGACGCATATAGTCTCGCCATAATAATTCAAACCGAACAGCTGCGGTGCCTTCGTTTTCTCCTTTGCCGTAGCCTGGCACTTTTTCTCCTGGTCCTCGCCCCTCCTCAAAGTCAAACATGGCCCAGTGGACTTGCCGAGCAGTGATATGGCCTTGTGCGAGGTAGGCCGAAATTTTAGTACTGAAGTCCAGACCAAGCATGCCATTGCGCGTGGCTTTGTAGGAACTCATTGCTCCTGTTCTGACTAAATGTTGTATCCGGTCCAGGCCATTTGTTTCGCCGCCGGAAAAAGGATGTGCTGATTGAGCGTCGGTTGGCCATACTGGCGGTACTTTCAGAGTGTATGTTGGATCTTTTAACAATGGGGTAAGTAGAGCGTCTTTCAATCCTTCCAAAGTCGAGGGTATAGTAAACGGCGGTTTTTGTGGCGGTATCCTGGAAGGTAGCGGGGGAAGTTGTGTGGGGGTGGGTACGGTGTTTCGGGGTCGGTCGCGTAGCGGTTCTAGGCCCTTTCGATATGTGGTGTAGACATTGGGCAGTTTAGAGATATCATCATAATATGGTAGATCCCGGCTATTTTCAGGTTAAGCAAAGGATTACTCCGACTTGACGTCATTCAAAGGATTTGGGTTGCTTACTCGTCAACATAGTACTTCTCGTCGACCCAAACTTTGAAATCTACACCACGCTGTTCTGTGAGGTTTTTCAGACTTGCTAGGTCATCCTTCTCTTCAGTGGCATCGTCGTCTGTAATCCATACTCCGCTGATTACACCTTCATTTTCGTCTTTGTCGTACCAGTCCAGTATGTCGGAGACCACCTCGGGAATTTTTCCGACACGCATCTCTAGGCCTGAGCCACAATTTAACCCCGCAAGCTTATCTTTGAGATTCCACACCCCATCGGCGATGAATTTTGCGCGGTGAGGGCCTGTCCGCCACACTCCCGCCTCCCTACTCCGTGCCTCCGGGTATGGACATTTATCGGACGGCGACGAGAGAAAGCCCGAGACCTCGATCTGGTTGGCGGGGAAGACAAAAACGGGTAAAAGGTGGGTGAAATTTGTGCGGCCGTGTTCCGAAGTCAGCGAATCATCACGATGCCGCCGATCGGAGCTTGATGAAGATTTTGAACTCGGTCGGCTGGTCTGGAGGGATGCAGCGTAGAATATGGGGTTATCTGAGAGGCGGACATCGCGGCGCAATATGTACAAGAGTATGCGAGGGACTCGGGGTGTCATAATCGGGGCCTCTTCGCTGTAGGCACTGAATGTGCGTGCTGAGCAAAAGGAACAGAGGAATAAATCGCAGGTGTTGCACGGCGGCCAGGAGCAGCTACGTCGTAACATCAAGGTTACGATGCATGGAGAGTCCAGGAATAGCGGGAATTTAGCAAAGACATTCCAGTGCTAGTGAGCAAAAAAAAGACGGAGAGAGTTGTGCAGCTTCAGAGCCAGTGGGACGTCATGATCCTATGATGGCGACAATGGAGCTTCACATCGAAGTTTCTAGGGCACGAGGTGACTGGAGCACTAGAGGGGAGCCCTAAATGTCATCTGTCAACCATGTTAGGACAGACCCCACTGCAAGGGGTGCAGATGGTCGAAACTGAGGAGATCCGGTTCGAGATTGGTGATGCTTGCTGCAGCATCGCTGGCCGGGGTTATGACGTGAGGGCCAAGTTAGCGCGCCGCCACACTCCGCCATGCTTGGGCAAGCCTGCTGCAGGGACGCATATCGAGTGACTTGGGACGGGCCGAGCGTTCGTGGGCAGCAGTGGATGGCAGCGATGGGCGTGCTACAATGAAGCAACAGAGCGATCGCGAGACATTGTTGTGGCTACGCCATGCCTGCTCAGGTAAGGCGGCATGAAAAGCTGATAGATGACTCGGTGCCCGGATGCACCGCAGCAGGGGCCGCCAATCGTCCTGCATCCCTCTCCTTTGATCTGATCTCGATATATGTCGATTCAGAGCGGCAATCGTGTGCAAGGTACGACCGCCTACACGTGGACTAGCCAGATGCGATGCTGGGCATGATATCTGTCTCTCTTCCAAGCTTGCCACGCATCACGGTTCATTTCGTTCTCCCCGCCACAATTAATGCCTGTATAATGCCGTGGTTCCGTTCTGGCATGCTTTGACGTGGTGCACAGCGCTGTCTACTTGTAAGCAGGGTAACATAGGGCCACAATCAGCACGCTGGCCGTATCTGTACCGCCGTTCGAAACGGCATTTGTGAGCCGTTACACTCGCGGCTTTTCCGAAATCAGCACTGTACCGTGATACGCGTTGAGCCCGCTACCGAGATAAGAGTTTGTGTGTGTGTGTGTGCATGCGAGCCGTGTAAGGGACTATGGCTAGCACACGTTGGAAGACTTCTGGAATAGCACGTGGGTCTCGGTAACACTCTTAGTCACACGACCTACCAGTGAGACCCCAGTATGTCTGGTTGCTAGTGGCCAAGTCCTTGCTCCTACGGATGAGTACCGGAACTCAAATCGAAGACATCATTTCACAAAGTTTGCACTACTTTGTTTTTCACATCGTACATACACCTTATCTCATAATGCGACTGGGGGGTGCAGATATCAAGGTATCTTGCATGTATACAAAAAAAATGATATGGAACCTTCATCAACGTCAGTCTGCATGTAACCGTATCACTTGCAGACTGGGCGTGGATGGGCCAAGAAGAAAAAAAAAGTTCAACTTTTTACAAATGTAACTTGGTTTCCCCGCACCGCTTTGGGCATCAATAATGAGTAGCTAATACACTTATTACACTAGATAAACAAAGTTCAGGGAGCTTTCAATCTTTCGTAAAAAAACATTGAACGGGCGGTGAAGCCCCATAACACATTCAGAATTCGGATTCAATTATCTATTTGGTCTACGTTGCTAATCCCCTTTTCCAAACAAGAACTTCCTCAGTGACCTTGGTATGCAACACAGCACATGTCGTCAACCCAATGGGCTTTGCAGCCGTGTCGTAGATCATGACACCATTTTCCACTAATGAGCGGGATGCAGAACATCTGGAAACCCCTGCTCCTGCCTCGCCACTAGCACACTGTTCGGTAGACGCCATCTTTTGTCGGCCGCTGAGCCTTGTGCTTGTGCTCCTTCCTCAAGCCCTTGCTCGCATGCTGTTTCTCGACGCTAGGATTGGCGCCTGGTTGGAACGCCGCGAGGTCAACGGCATCCGTCTTCATAAGCATTTCCGTCACGCCGCAGATGTCAGTCACAAGCCTGTCGATCATGTCGATCGAGAGAGACTCTCTGACTACTACCCTCAGAATTTCAGTCTTGTCCTCGTTGGGGGGAAGCGGGTAGTCTGTCAATTCATGGTTAATCACACTTTCTCTGAAAAAGAAATACACAGTTAAAGGCATGGACGTTCTTACTGGGAATAATGTATTGCTTAGCACGGAGCAGATTGCTAACGGCTTCTTGCTTGATGTGCGGGAATTCTTTGTGGAAGTCATCGGTGAGGGTAAAGGCTACGACGGGTAGACCAGGATTGTAAGCTTCGCTCGTAGCGCCTTCTTCGTATTGCTCCTTGCCCTTTTCGTACTTGAAGTCACCCTTTTTGCGGTGAATATCACTAACACAACGATACCAACCCTGCAGTATGACATCAGTGGTTGTCTCAAGTTTGTTTAAAGGAGGGGTGCTATTACCGTGTGCTCCAGCGCCCTACTCAGCAGACGGGCATTGGCCAAGGTGTTCTCCATAATGCTGCGGTATCCCGAGAAACCCAGATGAATCAGGTTGTAGTACTGTGCAATTATCTGCGCACCTGGCCGCGAGAAGTTCAATGTATACGACTCCTCGGTTCCGCCCAGGTAGTGGAGTTCAAAGATCAAATGCTTGGGTAAGTAGCTCTCATCTCGCCATATGATCCATCCAACACCAGCATACACAAGTCCAAATTTATGTCCACTGGTATTTATGGACTTCACTCGCGGCAACTCGAAATTCCATTTCCTGCCCGCCTTTGCATGCGTAAAGGGGGCAATAAAGCCTCCTGATGCTGCGTCAACGTGAATTGGAATGTCGACTCCAGTCTTCTTCTCGAATTCGTCCAAGATTTCTGAGATCTCCTCAACAGGCTCGTAATGTCCGGTGTAGGTGGAGCCGAGGATTACGAAAACGCCGATGGTGTTCTCGTCGATGTTCTCTTTGACTAGTTTGGGGTCTAGGCGGTAGGATGAATCCTCGCTTACAGGAAGAATACGGGCCTCGACTTCAAAGTATCTGGCAAACTTCTCCAATGCTACTTGAGCATTGGCACCCATGATGATATTTGGGTTGGAAGTGTCCTTGCCCTCTGCCCTTCTCTTTTCCTGCCAGCGGCGCTTCATAGCAAGTCCACCAAGGTGAATGGCCTCACTAGAGCCAGTGGTGGCAGATCCAATAGCCTTTTCGCCCTTTTGCACACCCCACATGTGGGCAATAATGGATACACAACGGGCATGCATGTCCATCATGGCCGGGTACTCATCAGCATCCGACAGATTCTTTGATATGTTTTCAATCATGAGTTGCTCGCCCTCCCTCTCCATGTAGGTGCCAACGAAGGAGGCAAGGTTAAGGCTGGGTCGCCCGTCTAGGTCAAGCTCATCTTTAAGCAACTGGTGAACAACGTCGGCTGGGGCGCCATCTTGTGGAATTTTGAACTTGGACAGCTCGGTGCCAGCAGCATATCGACTGGAGTAAGGGGTGATGTGCGAAGTTGCTCGGTTTCCGGCATGACGTCCGCCAGCCTTGTGCACAGGATGGTCTTTGAGCGTCGTCAAGAGCTCTTCCGTGTCAACGTGTCTTGCTAGTCCGGCCATTATGCGAGATTTAAAGTTAGAAGTGGAGTCGTGGTGCTTCGGGTTGGTTGCAATCACTGCATCCGCGCGACGCAGGCATGGTAATTATACAAAAACTACAGGTAGTAGTAGTACATGCAATTGCAATGTCTGGACATGACGACATGTTGTATCCGCACTTTCCCATATCTTCACGCCAATAAACAGCCCGTTGGAATTTGAAAGCTTGACAAAAGCTTGTTTTGGCATTCCACAGAGGGTGACAAATGACCTCACAGCCAATCACCCTTAGGTCCGAGGCCCACTGTGGGTAAGTTTTGTTAGTAACGTCGACCAAAACTGTGGTCAGCGTGGTTTTGGGCAGATGGGCAAGCCCCGAGCTGTAGATTTGAGTGGCCTTGCCTCGTAAAATTGACGCACAGTGACGAAGGCGTGTGAATAGCGGAAGCCAAAGCAACGTCACCACTACATGTACATGCACATGTGTGTTTGCGTATGGAGAAGGCCTCCACAAATCTTGGCAATGGTTGCTGGTTGCAACACTGGATAGGAGCATGAGACGGAAGAATTGGTCGTCCTCGTTGTTTGTGGCTGACATGAGCGTGTCAGTAGAGTACGTACGTGGTTTTGATGCAATAGTTTTCATGTGGAGATGATGGCAGGCTTTTGTGCGGGGAACCAATCAGATGGCGAGCTGCGTATGTGCATGCAAGGAGTACGTATCTGAGTGGGGCGCTGCAGCCAACAGCAGCGCGCTTTCACGTGATCTTTCCCATCTCCCCGTCCTTCACGCTTGGGGCCAATGCAGCATGGCTCACCACGAAAATGTCCCTGAACCCCCAAAGAAGGATAGATGCGTATGTTACAAGTCGCTGCAGCCTCAGCTGGGCGTGAATGTATCATGCATCATGCATCGAGTGGTGGGCGTGGTAGATGTTGGAGATTGATGATTGGTGACGTCACGTCAGCGCATTGTCGTATTGTCTCATCCGCCGAGAACCGCGGGGAAGCATCGACTGACGCGTCCTTTGTTGCCGCCTGGGACGCCTGCGTACGCTACATTTGACTTTCTTCGCCGCGTGGCAGCAGTGAACTTTGTTTTTTGTCCAACATCTCATCTTCAACTCAAGCATTCCCCGTCACTTGCTGCTCTTCCTTTCAGCGCGTCCTTTGTCATAGCCTTCAACTCTAGATTGCTTGATTTCGTCCGACTTGTGGGGTTGGCACCACCAACCAGTCGGCCGACTATCTCGGCGCCATTGCTACGCAGTGGTGTTGTAATCGACTTGTCGTGCTCTTTAGCTCCTTTGCGGCACTACTTGTAACCCTCCATCTGTCTGCCCCTCCTGCCTGTCATCTGAATTACCCTTCAGTTACCAGGCCAACATGCGCTTCTCACGAGTTGTGTCCCTTTTGCCCTTGGCAACCGCTTTTGTCATTACCGAACCCGAAGTCTTCTCCAAGATCGAAAAGTCGGGACGGCGGCTTGTTGACAATACCCAGACTGTCCTTGATGATGCACTCAGCAAGGTCAAGGATGAAGCACAGCATGCATATAGCAAATTCCACGATATTGGCTATGATGTCGAGGCATGGCTAGAGGACGAGGATTTTGACGACAGCGTCATCGACCTTGATCACCCCCGTGGTCCTCACCATGGCAAACCTCACCATCCCCCACACCACGATAAGCCGCACCACCCACCGCACCACGAGAAGCCAAACCGGACCGTTTACGAGCTCATCAACGAGAGCAAGTACACTACAAAGCTGGCTGAGCTGATCAATCAGTTTGATGATGTCGTCGAGTTGTTGAATGGCACTGCAGCCAACTATACCATTTTTGCCCCGACGGATGCGGCCTTTGAGAAGATTCCCAAGCACCACCCACAACCATCAAAGGAGTTCTTAAAGGAAGTTCTCTTGTACCATGTCACTGACAGCTTCTACCCTGCTGGTCGCGTTCTCCACAGCTTCACCATCCCTACTCTGTACACAACCAGCAAGAATCTCGGTCACGCTCAGCGTCTAACTCCCCGAGTCACATTCAAGGGCCCCACAATCAACTACTACAGCCGCCTTGTAGCTGTAAACATCTTTGGAACCAACGGTGTTGTTCACGGCGTTGACCACATTCTTGTGCCCCCTCCCAATGTTGCCACCATCCTCGATCTGCTCCCTGGCGCCTTCAGCACGCTGGAGCTTGCTCTCACCAAGACTGGTATATATGACTGGCTCAACACGACCGAGTACAAGCACAACGGTGGTACCTTTTTCGCCCCAAACAACTACGCTTTCAAGAAGCTCGGCCCTCGAGCCAATGCCTTCCTTTTCTCAAAGTACGGCGAGAAGTATCTCAAGGCTCTCCTAGAGTACCACTTGGTCAATGATCAGACCCTTTACACGGATGCCTTTTTCGATGGATCTGACGATGGCGACGACGATGATGACGAGTCTACTAAAGACCGCCCAGATTACTACCACTACGACCTCCCAACCGTGCTGGATGACAAGTACCTCGCCGTCGACGTCACGCGCTATGGACCCTTTGCCGAGATCCGAATCAATGGTTTCTCGCGCGTCACTATCCACGATGGTATTGCGAGTGACGGTGTCATCCAGGTGGTTTCTGATGTTCTCATCCCACCCAAGACCGCTGGTGGCGAGGAAGTCTTCTGGAAGGGCGATGAGATTGATGTCGAAGATCTCAAGGAGCGTCTTGAGCCTTTTATTGACAATATTGAGTTGTAGAGTTGCACACACACACACACCACCACCACCACCACCACCACCACCACACATCTCGTGTTGAAGTGAGGAACGGATCATGTAGCCACGGTGGCATTGGACGATCTTTACACACATTTTCACTTTTACGTAGTCTTGTCTTCAGATTGAAGCAGGCACCTCACAATAGAACGTGTATGATCTTATGTGGCTCAATGAACAATAACATTCTCAACATAGGTGTTAATAGTGATATTAGATGACGTGAATACCATGCCTCTCAGCCGGTTAGTACAACCGAAAAACCCAGGCTGCGCGGGCTACTAGCCTACCAAAATGAGGAAGCGTTTACTACAAATTATTAGCACCACCAACACATTATTTTTCGATAAAATTTAGAATGGATGAATACTCGAAGCTCGATGTTGATAATACACAAGTGAATGACAAGTTGCCGCCTTTACAGGCAACTACTGCGAGAAGCAGCGCGAACTAGACCCGATTCAAAGGATGAAGAAGGAGACGGCTTCTCGAGGCTGAGAAAGCTTTCTGAAATCAGGGATGAGGAGCTGAAGGACTTTGATGGTGTCTTTGTTCCTTGAGGATATGCTCCCCTAAGGGATCCATCAGAATACTGGTGGTGCTGGGCGACCCTATCTCCGATTTTACCGGTTGACTGAGAGTTATGGTCATATGAGTTTTAGAAGAAAAACCAGATAACCGGCCAACGTCATACTGACTGTCATATAGCACCTATGGAGGAGGATAGCTCTTGCTGACAATAGCTCAGGTAATCTGTGTATTGGATTACTGCTCTATCTTCCATAGAGCAGCCGAAGGGTACAAATGGTGAACCTATAGGCCAGGCTCACCGGAGACTAGTGCAGAGCAAGTAAAATGTACCGAAACGAGCTCGATAAGCAGTATTCTTCTGTGCGACAGCACCTAGTTGAGATACAAGTCTCCATCATACCCTTAAACCTTACGCCAAACCAGTACGAGAAGGAACCGAAGTTGCCAAGGTCCACTCTTAAGAAAAGTCTTCGCCGCCCTCCTCAATCGTGTTCTTGATTCGCAAAAGAAGCGTAGTCTTCCACTTATCCAGCTTGCTCAGCTGATCAAATTGGAATAGCTACACCGCACATTAGCACTTCTTTCCCCATCCCCTTTTCAAACATAGAAGTAACATACCTTGTCGGCAAACATTTCCTGGTCACCATCCTGCACCGCCGCTGTAAGATCAACCAGCAGCGCATACTCTCTCTGCTGTTGAAAACTAGGATCAATCTCCCTGTACTTCTCAAGTGCGGTGTTAACGCCAACTTGGTCGCCTGTGCACAGCTGGCAGATACCAGCCTTGAGTAGGTATTCCTTGACCGACCAGCGCATGAGGTTGTTAGCGATGGAGGCCTTTGCAACCTTTTCGTAGAGCTCAATGGCCTTGTAGTAGTCTTTGCCCTCTAGGGCGATGAGGTCGGCTGTCTTGAGCCAGAGCTTGTTTGCGAGTGCCTGCGAGTGAGGGTTAGTCTTTGCCAAAAAATTAGAGGATTTTTGGGTGGTAGTTACTTCGGCGTTGTCCTAGGCCAGTGTTAGCGTCTATGTTTTTTTTCAAAGCGTGGAGTGATGGGGGTATATAAGTATCTGGAGACTTACGCTTTCGTACCAACCAGCTGCCTCTTCGTAAGCAGCTGCCGCACGCATATTGTCGCCAAGCTCGACTTCAAAAAGTTCGCCGAGATTCTGCTTGTGAGTAGCTGCGCGGCGGAAGTTGCCTTTGTTGCAGTAGTGTGTGATGGCTTTGTCTAGACACCTTGCCGCCGCCTCTGGTTCATCTTTCCGGTAGGCCTCTGATTGTATTAACCACGTATACAAATAAAACAGTCTCCAGGGACCCTACTGAAGGCATCTGTCAAAGTGTTTGCCTCATCGTCAGGCTCGTTCAGGTGTTGGCGTTGAACTGATGCTGCTTTCTCAAAGGCTTCACCGGCCTCCTTGCCTGGGACCAGTCAGTATCTCAAATTGATGCTGAATTGAATAGCCCTTCAATCTATATCTTTGGAAGTCCATTTTCATACCCATCTTTTGCATTCGGAACGCATTTGCTGCGGCGATGAACTGTTCTGCGGCTGCCTCGTCTGTCACGTGCGTCAGTTTCGCAATATTCCCATGTCATCCGCCAGCCCTTACACTTCTCTTGCTTCCCTCCGAAGAAACTGAAGCCACCCGATGCCTTCTGTAGTGATGTTTCTGCCTAGTAAAGCACCAGAATGTCAGTAATATGCATGATGGCTGAGTCTGAAGAGGAGGAGGCCCCACCTGTCGCAGCAATGCCCTGGGATCACCGGCCATGTTTGCTGAGTATGCGATGTGTGGTGTGTTGTAGCGGATATGGGAGAAACCTTTTAGAAGAAGAGGAAATTGTATTGAAACTTGGGTTGGAACAGGTGGCTGCGCGTGCGGTCTTCATGGGCGGCGATGACGACCCACGCTGGGCTGGTCCATGCGAGACCCGCGGGGCACCGCCAATGGCGCGCTAGTGCTTTGCAGCTGCCTCACAACCACGACTGGACTTTTGGCGACGACACCGTCCGTGTTTCGTCTGGGCTTCAGCTTTTTCCGGGCGCTGATTTCAGGAAACAAAACAAAACTCAACTGAAGAGTGAAAAAAACTGGTTCCTTATAGCGAAGTTCCCTTTTACAAAACCAAGACGCATCATGGCAAGTCGTCGTGTTTTTGCGGCTGTGAAGCTCTGCAAGCCGACACGATGCTTGCAAATACGGTCATTTGCGCCTTCGACTCTACGGCTAGAAAAGGATTCCAAGGAACCCGCGCACTTACGGGAAAACGTCGGCATCCATCCCAGCGAGCTCGAGCAGCTTCTCGCAGAGCCCACCTGGTCGGTCGAGTCCCTCCTCCCACCAAAGACCCGTGCTCCCGATGCCCCGCAAGTCACTTCGCAGCAGCTACACCACCTGCTGCGACTGTCAGCTCTCCCGCCCCCAGAGACGCCAGAGCAAGAGAAGAAGATGCTAGATACCCTGGCAGCACAACTACACTTTGTGGGCAAGATACAAGAGGTGGACACTACTGGCGTGAAGCCTCTCCGAGCTATACGCGACGAGACTGCGGCTGCGGAAGAGGAACAAAAAATTACATTGGAGACTCTCAAGGATGCATTGGCCAAAGAGAAGGTTGTGGGACGTCATCACAAGCGCATACAGCGTGACACTACACCTGTCGATGCGAAAGACGTCGAGGACTGGGATGTGCTAGGCTCAGCCGAGCGGAAGTCCGGTAAATACTTCGTTGTCGAAAGCGAACGCCCACAGGAATGAGTCGCTCAGGATTGGCTCTCACCAAAATCGAAATGCATACGCTAGCGCTATGGATTCGCACAGATCTCATACTACAATGAGTAGTTAGATTGCCTAGCTGTGTTCAGAACGACGACTCAAACACCAAACGCCTCACAATACTCGTAAAATCATGGTATCCCTAAAACCCTACAACGCTCCAATGAGAAAAAAAAACGGGAATAGAAGATGTGCCCATCCCAAACCTTCATGATCAAAAGATTGGACTCGAAACGCTAAGCAGCCAAACCGGAGAACAAAAAGACCAGCTTCAGTCTCGCAGCGGAACCAGAAAACGTGTACTCAATTTCAAACACAAACCACCTCCTCTTCACAAGGGCCATCGATCAACTTCCTTGTTGCATGTTTTACAGTACTTCACAATGTGCCCTCCGACACCGCAGTCACAAAAGGGCACTTCCTTGAGGTCGGGAAGCTCTGGTGTTGACAGTCGAGTTGAACGAGGTGTTGGAGGAGGTGTTGATTCTTCAGGAAGGTAAATTTGTCTCTTCTCGTCTCCTGAAAGTATCCTTCTTGGCTCCAAGGCCCTCTGTATGATTGCCGGTTTCTGCCTGGCTTTGGATGAATGCTTGGCAGAAGTCACGTGAGGAGTTGAGTAGGATTCCCTCTCCCTGAATTTGGATGCACTGCAACGTGAAGAGTCGTAAGAGTGGCTCCTGGAGGACGGCTCTATGCTATCCGTTGGGTAAAGGACAAAGTCGGTATATGTCTGGGTTGGTAAGTCGACCTTGCGGGCACCCGCAGCGCGACGACGAGACTCTGCAATCTGGACCCCAGCTTTATCATGGTATATTGTCTGGCGGTATCTACAGGTCTCTTCCTGACGTGGAAGGAGGTTTGATTTGGATTGAACTTGCTGCATTGGCAACGACGGCGACGACATGGTAATCCCTGAGACCAGCGGCCGGTATGTGATATCAGAAAAGAGTTGGAAGTCTTTGCTTAAGGTCTGAAGGACCTTGGAACTATACCAAGCCTCAACAAAAGTTGTTGTTGGGGGAAAGTTGGTAATGGAATAGTGGGGAGTGAGGAAAGGAGTGATGATGTGGGAGGTGGGCGGTGGGCGGTGCAAGATATATGTGTGCAAGATTCTGCCAAGCATTATCCCACCTAGCACGCACCCGGCCTCCCTCCCCCACCACTACCCCTCTAGGCTGCTCTATCCTACAACATTTTTCAAGTTCAGAGCACTCAATAGGCTCTTGTCTTCTGGAATTGTCTCTGGAATATGGGAATAACACGGATTTATGGGGCACTGGGGGTGCTTTCAGGCATTTCCGCATTGGGAATATCGGAGTGCAACTTCTTATATCGAAGCTGCTCCGAAGCACCCAACATTGGAAAACGAAGAATTTGAAGTCTTTAGGACTAACCAATCAAGTGAGATGGCTTAATGCATCTAGTTTTGGGGATTGCCTGCCCTTCGACGTCGTCGTCGCCCGTTGGTCTTCCTTCATGTCGCTGATATGCTGTTTGGAAGGAGCAATTCAACCACTTTTCAACCCTCCTCACTATTTCACTTCACTTAGAGGTACTATATATGCTGTTACTACTTTCTAGGTAGTTGTTTGTGGCGTGGTAATACAGTAATGGCAAACAGAAAGGACAATCCGGGTCATCCTATGGCCAATACAGCACCACCAACAACAAAGTATCAAGTAAAAAAATAAATAAATTCACATACTCTATCCTCTCAGTATCATTTTGAACCTTCTCCCTTCCATACTGATTATTGAAGCACATCCAGAGACATTTGCACATGTACACACGTGCACGTATGACTCTTGGAATTCAATTGTCCAACTCATGTGACGTCCCCATCCCTTCTGACCGCCCGCCGGCATTTCCCCCCCACCC